CAGCAGCAGCAGCAGCAGCAGCAAAGGAGGCCTGGATCCACCCCAGCGGCCGCTTCGGATGTTCTCCTGCTGCTGTTTGCATTTTAGAAAGAAGTCCCCACGAGCCTCCGGTGCTGGACTGTACGTACAGCCCGTGCAGCAGCTACGTTGCTTTTGTGCAGGGCCGAGACATCCATTTGCTGCTGCTCAACGCTGCTGCTGCTGCTGCACCTGCTGCTCCCCTTGCTGCATCGCCCGCAGCTGCAGCAGCGGCACTCAGCAAAACCGCTAAGAAGAAAACCCCTCAGAAGAAGACGCCGAGCAGCAGCAACGGCGCTGCCCCCAGCGCTGCCGCTGCCACCCCCAGCAGCAGCAGCAGCAGCAGCAGCAGCAGCAGCAGGAAAATGAACGGCATCCGCTGTCGGCTAACCGCGTCGCCCCCAGACTACACGAGCGGCCTGGCTGAGTATGTGGCCCAAGAAGAAATGAATCGTATGGAGGGATACTGGTGGTAAGATTTGCTGCTGTTGCTGCTGCTGCTGCAGGGTGCTTCCTGCTGGTGCATTCGCTGCTGCTCGTTTGCGTCCTTTAGTGCTGCTGCGTCGCTGCATGGTCGCTCAGCCACGACACCTGATAGAGTTTAGGGTTTACACATGGGGTTGAGGGCTTACGGTTTAGGGTTTAGGATTTAGGGTTTAGGGTTTAGGGTTTGGGGTTTGCTTGCAGGTCGCCAGATAGTCGGTTTCTGGCATTTGTGGAATTCACAGAGGCCCATGTGCCTCCAGTGAGGCTGCAGCGAGTGCTGCAGCCGCCGCAGAAGCCCCCACCGCAGCAGCAGCAGCAGCAGCAGCAGCAGCTGCAACTGCAGCGGCACCTGCAGCAGCACGACGTGCGCCTGCGGACAGTCTTAGAGGTCGACGAAAGCTGCGGCGCCAGTGCAGGCGGCGTCTCTGAGTTCTTGCAGCAGCAGCAGCAGCAGCAAGAGGGGCAGCAGCAGCAGGAGCTGCAGCAACACCCGCAGAAGCAGCAGCAGCAGCAGCAGCAGGAACAGCAGCAAAAAAAGAGACGCCTACCTTCTCCGTCCAATGGCTGCAAGCGCGAACATCTCGGATCGTCCACGCTGCTGCGCAGCAGCAGCAACAGCACCACAAACAGCAGCAGCAACGGCAGCAGCAGCAGCAGTGACAACGGCAAGAGCTTCCTTATAACAGAAGAGCACCGCTTTCCTTTCGCCGGGCAGCAGAACGTCAAAGTTCGCATCGGCATTGCCCAAGTAAACCCTAAACCCTAAACCCTAGTGTTTTTTCTGCTTCTCTGAGATTTGCGGTTTAGGCTGTGTGGTCGTACCTCAGTGTGCACTGTTGCCGCTGCTGGTGCTGCTGCTGCTGCTGCTGCTGGTTTGTTGCCAGGTCCCCAGCGTTGCTTCTTTCTTGGCAGCAGCAGCAGACACTGCGAAGACAAACAGAGCAGCACCAGCAGCAGACGGTGTGGTGGAGGTTCCTTGCTGCAGTCGTTGCCGGACTCGCTGCTGCTGCAGCAGCAGCAGCAGCAGCCCTGCAGCGGCGCCCAAGGGCAGGGCCGCCTCCCCCGCCGTGCGCTCGGTGTCTCCCATAGCCGGCAGCAGCAACAGCAGCAGCAGCAGCAGCAGCGGCAGCAGCAGCAAAGTGTGCAGCGGGGTTAGATTTGTCAAGCTGCCTGTGGCAGATTGGAAAGAGGACTTCTACATTGGGCGCGCGC